CTGATGGATTTGACGGGGATCGAGGGCAGAAAAAACAAAAGTAAGTAGCCATGAGCGTCCTAAAATGCTCTAATCATTCATGAAAAAATGATCAGGCTAACTATTCGCTTGAAGTTTGTTTGCTTTTCAGAGCCAGCGCTAAACTCCGACACTGTGCGACTGATTATGCATATATAATAATGCAAAGGGAAGGTAGACATGAAAAGAAAGCCGTCAGTTATTCCATTTACAATTATTCGATTTTCTAATCCGGGAAATGAGAAAGAAGGGTGTTAGTTGAAAATGAAGCCGGCTATTCCAAATTTTTTTGCTAAATTTTTCTAAAACATATCCTTCTGAATGCATTTCGTCAGAAGCGGCTAGTTTGAGCAACGTCGGCAACACCGCAAACCATTTGTAAGCACTTGTGACGAATTTTTATCTGACAAAATCAGTTCGATGAGTCTGTATTGCAGATGGTCGTGATTCTGCCACGGTGGGCACTGCGAACAGCTCTCCGCGAATTATACGGTGCCGGGAATCGCGAAAGAGTGGCGCTCATAGTACGCGGCTCCGACATTCAGCCTGTACTTATTTTTTATACATTTACTTTTTGGCACTGCTGGAATAAAGTTCGTTCTCAAAGGGCGCTGACGGAAAAAGTAATATTTAGACAGCAACACTTTGAAGTGAAAATATGGCGTGGAAACAAAAATGATTTTAAAAAAAAATTCTAGTACACGGTATGGGATCAGGCAGCGGACACCAATTATACAATAAAGCAAGTATGCGCACAACAAACACCAGGAGGCCCATGGTATACCGGTTTTCGCAATCTGCGCTCACCGAGTCCAGTATGGGAATTCATCTATGAGAAACCTTTCCGTCTCACACAGCCGAAAACGTGGCTTCGAAGCAGATCTATGCCGCGTGTCCCAAGGAGAATGCACGGCCGTACCATACCTACGCCTATGTCACCAACACACTGGAGAAATCCAATCGCAAAACCTGCACCACCGGGCATCAGCGTTGTTGAAGCACCGTACGAGGGCTGGCGACCGACGACACGCAGATCACAGTTAGCAGAGCGCCGTGGAGTGCAAATCAATCCGGAAACTGGCGTATTCGAGCGTATCAGACCCCCTTCTAGAAGTAATCAGTTTCACTGACTGTCATTTTTTGCGTCCAATAATTGTCATATCGCATCTCAATTGAATGAATTTGAATTTGTACTCGAAAATATATGCTAATATTTGTCTAGTCGTGTTTCTCAGACGAACTGTACACACTGAACAGACCGTGGCGTACGGTTTCAACTTTGTACGCAGTACTAAATGCAGTAGTACAGTAATTTATGACTTTTTGCACTATTTCCATGCATTTTTCAATCGGACCAATTTTTCTGTCCTTCCACCACAATATTCAATCTGTCCAATACACACAACATCTTTA